ATTTCTGTTCCCGTATATTTTATTGAAAATTTTCCATAATTTGTTCTATTGCCTTTTTTATGGATCAAATTTGTACTTCTTGTATTATGCTTATGAATTTCGCTATTCAAAGTGAAATAGTTGTCAAAAAAGGTAGGTAAATTTCCTTTTGCGTAATCGTACATAAAAAGGCTAATGCATAGTTTGTTAAGTTGCACAATTTTTAACAGTTTTGTTTTTCGAAAAAGTGGTACCGATTTTGCATTATATGAACTTAATGTGATGATTCTAACTGCTCGTTTTTGTATTTTGAGAATCTTTTTTAGTTTTGAGGGATAATTATTTGCCCAAACTGCATTACAGTAGCAGACTTGTATCATGTACATTCTTTTCATGCATGTTATATAGCTATATATATTAAAGAGAATTAAAACAGAATGCTGCAATGTTATTTTATGTGATAACGATAAGTACGCCGTTTATCTTTGAGAGTAAGACAAGCTTACTACTCGCTAACTCTCCATTCGATTTGAACATAGGTGTACTGGTGCAGATGACATTTTCCCAACTAAGCCTGAAAATGCCCGACCTTTGATTCCTCCCCGTCCCAGAACATGCACACACAGAGGTAAAACACATACGTGTTTAAGTCTTTGAATTAATGTAATTGTGATTATTGTGTTAACTGTGTAGTGTGTAATTGCAGCATTATAGAGCAAATATTTGCATTACTTCATGTCAGTATCTGTTCCAAGCTCGTTCGAAATTTTTCAAACACACTTGGCTTTGTGAGTTTGTGCCCCTATGCTTCTTTATACTTAACTACGACATTTTCATTCAGCCAGGTACACCATCAAATTGATCAAAATGACAAATGTATAATAATAATGAGAATTGAAGCTATTTCGATTCAGATATATTAATATACTTGGAGAAATAATTGAAAATAATTTCCTTCCCCCCCCCCCAGAATTTGTGCGTCCAAGGCGTCCATTTTTTGTTCTAGGGGCGCCCTTCTGGCTAAAAGCCTGGGGTGGGACGACTTGCATGAGGCGCCAACTTGGTTGGCACTAAGCGGAAAAGTTTGGAATCCTAGATTGTCAGAAATGGCATTTTCAGAGTTTTCTCTAATCTCTACCTGTTTTATTAGACCTGTAGGATGTAGTACTATATAAGTTTGCTCTTTTTAAATTCAATTTATCCCCCCCCCCCGTATTGTATACCCGACTTTTATGCCGTATTTTTGCCAACTTGTCGACCTTTAATCGATATATATTATATTCAATTATTATGTAACATGTGCAAATTCTGAATGCTGATTGGCTAAGAGCAGTGTTGCTATAACTCAATGTCAACACGGAAAGTTCCTACCACTCTTGAATTCAATTTTAATAATTATTTTCTCCTTATTTCCTAGTGCTGTATTATAAAAAATATAAAACGTCTTTCCGTGCTGATATTGAGTTATATATGTGTGGAATTTATAGCAGCTATTTCATTCAATATGAAAACTAGACCTGAAAACTTTGTTCTACTGTATATAATATATGCTAGTGATATTAATTTTAAAAGTATTGTATTGTATTTTGTGCAAGTGTAGTATTGTTTGAATGGAATTTGTATTTCGTGACTGCATGATTATTCGTTATGATCATGACATTGTAAAATTAGTATTTTAAATTCTCTTTCCCCTGTTTACAGCCCTGGTAGATGTGTATTATGCTTGATCTTACTTTCGTTCCAATTGAAGTGTTGCTCAAATATTGATTCACTAATTTGCTATTATATAATAAGTGATAAAATATATATTTCAATTGTTCATTGGTGTCACAGATGTACATATGTCTAAACTACAACAGCTACAAAATACAGCAGCATGTCTTATCTGTTGTTCTATCCCTAAACATGATCACATCACTCCGACTCTCATCAAATTACACTGGCTTCCTGTTCGATTAAGGATCAAGTTCAAAATTGCCATGCTTGCTTTTAAATGTATCCATCAGTATGCACCTCTCTATCTTGTCAATCTTTTAAAAGTAAGAAATACATCGTGCTGTCTAAGATCTAACGAAGGCACATTGCTTGAAGACTATAGTACAAAAACAAAGAAAATACTCGGCGACAGAGCATTCGTAACCTCCACTCCAAAAATCTGGAATGAATTACCTATGTATATAAGAAATCTGCATAACTTTAGTATTATTATTTTCAAGAAGCCTTTAATGTAAATACTTCATGTAACATATAATCTATATAACCTTGTTTATGTTTTTTAGAATAATTTTAGTGTAATTATGTTGTGATGCGCATTTGATCATATACTATAACATGTTAATTTGCGCAATATAAATGTTAAATATTATTATTATTCATTTCCTTTCAAGAAAATACTAAATGTGACTCCAGTTTTGCGTAGATACATGTACGCGTAGCGTACCTATTTTTAATAATTACCACAACATTGTAAATTCATAAAAATTTAAAAAACATGATATTACAAAGATAATGTTACTGTCGATGCAATAGAAGTGTTGATAAAATATTGCATCAATTCATTTCCTCAAGTTGATCAATTCATACGAATTCAAATTTCTTTTTACTTCCTCTGCGTTTCCTATTGGTCAATCGGTTCTGAAACGAAATCTAATTGGCTTATCTAGAAGTAACAGGAAGTTGATCAATTTTCTATCAAATGAATTGATCAACTTGAGGAAAGGAATTGGTGCAATATTTTATCAAGTTAACACTTCCATTGCATCGACAGTAAAGTTTTTAAAAATTGCGAAAAGTTCGGTTAAAACTACTATAATATAAACTATATTGATATGTACTATAAAATATTATGTTATGCCTATGGTCGGTCCCAGTTTTCTCACTAATCATGTCGAACACTCCAGGTTTGATGAATGAAGCAGTTATATAGTTAGTTACGTTAATTTCTGTCCATCAGGACTGAGATGTTGTAACTCAGTGTTCTAAATTTATAGTACCCAGGTAATGCCTAATTCATAGATCTATACATGCGATTCAACGCGCCATACAAGATACCCAAAAGATGCGAATCGCACATGAATACTGCAGAAATCCACTGATACCATTGTTAAGACAGTGCGACAGTCACGAGACAAGTTCGATATTTTCTTTCTCAGCAAAAAGGCTCATCTCTCCCTGTCCTCCTTCTAGTATTTCAAATTTTCGTACTTCCTCCAGTGTCTCGGACAGTTTCACATTTAACGTTTCTGGTAGCAGTAGGGCAAGCAAACCTGACAGCAGAAGCAAGCCACCAAACATAATAAAAGGTACCGCATCAGCTGTATAGTTTCCCTAGAAAAAGTTTTTGAAATTACTACTACAACCCAAAATATGATGGGTATATACTGTAGTACAAGTAATTGGGCAATATAATATTTATAATACGCGAGCGGTGATTGGTCGAGAAACGTGTTACTATATGACTGTATATACACGGAAAATGTCCCGACATGCACCTTTCAATTTAAAAACGTAAACAAAATTTTAATACGCACTATAATTGAAAAAATGTTTCAAAGATCGCGTGGCTGCCAACTCTCGTTTGTTCCAGGCTTAAGTTTAAATAATGGAGAACTATTTATAGTGTAGTGAAATTGAGGAAATGTCAACCTTACGCGAGTTTCATATTTACGTAATAAAAATTTGTAAAGTAATTGATTTAAAGGTCTAAATATTTAATCTTATAAATATTTCCCTTGCGTTTTAGCATATACTCGTGCAATGCGATTGGTTTCTCAGCTACAGATCGATATCCTTGCACTATCCACCAAAATAAATTGTCTTCCCGTTTCGTTCCAGTCACAGGCGAGCAAATATATTTTACAAAACTAAGCTGCATGTGGTTCCGCCAAACCGTGTACAGTTATTCTTTAAAACTATTTCTAATGAAAATAATTAGTAAAAGCTCGTTTTGTTTACAACTCGTACGGGAGCTGTGATACAAATTGTTTTAAAAAAATTTTCGTTGTTTTTTGGTCATTTTTGTTTTGGCATATGCTAAAACAACTATTCACCTCAGTGTCAGTGAATGGTGCAATACCCTTGCACTATTCACCTCCATTGCATTCATGCTTAGTTACATACCAGTAACAAAATCTGTGGTGCTGCAATGCCAGCAATTCTTGCCCAGAATATCCCTGCTCCAACACCCACGTTCCTACAGTACGAATTGTGCAAAGTATATGTCGCTACAATTTGTTAGTTAAAACTGAGAGTGATAATGAGGGTGATTATTTATTGAATACATACCGCATCATAGTAGGATAAAGTTCAGAAGTATACACAAAAATAGTTCCAAAATTTCCAGTCAGGAACATTCTTCCAATTATCGCAAAGACTGTGACAAGGGTCTGGACGCTTTCTATAAGATGTAAAAAAGATCACTATATTGCAGTGATAAGAACGGTGGAAACAGTCAGGTATTCGTCTTATTTAGATTTGCAATTGAACAAAACCTCTCTGAGTCAGAGACATGGAATTTGAAACATTTAATATGTGTAAAACTGCAAATAATATGCTCCCTAGTTATCTGTCTAGTAAATTCATTCCTACTTCTTCGATACACGAACATAACTTGCGAAGCTCTACTAAAAAAATGTGTACCTATAGATCCTTAACTGAATCTCTGAGAAAACTGTTTTTCATATAGAGATGCAACGTAATGGAATAGCATACCCGTCGAAATTACCAGAGTTCAGTCACTTGCTGTTATTTTCTTGTAGTTTTTAGTAGTTTTATATATTTTTGTAAATCATTATCAATATAGTTTGACATCGTATAATCACCTGCATGTCTCCATGGAAGAGCGCATATCTTTTTTAGTTTCTTAAATTTGTGAAATGGATTTCGTGGTAAAATAAAGATGCCAATTAATAAATCAGTCAGTCAGTCAGTCAATGAAGAAGTCAGAAGATGTAGAGTTGTGGACATTGATAAGAAGATAAAAAGGAGAGCCAGTCAGAGACACGGCATGAAGAATTCAGTGTAGACATTACAGAGGGGGGGCTGAGATGGTTTGCATGGTCACGAGACAAAAGAGAGCCTGTCAAAAATGGACTTTGTAATAGAAAATGTAAATACCAATGACAAAGGACAGAAAAATATGGCGACTGGGTCTGCACTTGAAGTGGATAAAAGAAAATATCAAAAGAATGATGGGTGGGCATTACAAAGTACAAAAAGAGATGGAGGAAAAGAATCCGAGCAGCTGATCTCGAGTCAGTCTGGAACTACAAATAGGTAAAAGAAAATCTGAATATCAATGAACTGATAGTGGGCACGACAAGGACAGAAAGAGATTGAGGAGAAGAACCCTAGCAGCTGGCCTGAGACTAACGCCCGTATTCTAAATTAAAAGCACACTCACACTCAATGAATGGAGGTTCAATCTGAGCTTCTCTTGAGTGTCAATGCTGTTTTTGAATAGCTGCAGGGTGAGTAGGCACATAGTAAGGTATAACACTAGCCCCCCAGCTATTCAAAAACAGCAATGACACTCGAGAGAAGTTCAGATTGAACTTCCCCTCATTGAGTGAGTGAGCTTTTAGAATATGGGCGTAACGCTAGCTTAAAGAAGAAATGAAATATAATCTGTGAACAAGTCAAGAAAACATCAGAATATCTTACTGTTCGACTTTGGCAACATTCCTGCAATGATAAGAACTGTTGCAGCGACAAGACAATAAGCAAATAATGGCCTGCGTCGTCCAAACCTAGAAAAAGAAAATATTGAAGTATAACTTTCAATTCAATTTTCAATTACCTTCATAAGTAGTAATTTATACAGGTGTCCGTATTAGAG